CATAATTACATCGTAACAAATGAAAAAAATAACAAAAAGAAATTTTTTCATGATCATATGAGTTTGCCGGATAAATTATATTACTTTAAATGAATTGGCTGTGAATTTTTAGGAACCGAATACATATCCAAAAACTACACGTTTGAAAACCTTGCGAGTTTTGAAATCGGTATTTTATATAAATATATATATATTATATATATAATTTATATAAAATTTATCTTAAAGTTGCATCTTAACTTTAAAGGTTTTTAGGTCAGTGGATTTTATATCTATATAAAATATATATTTTTTTAGTCCGATAAAATTTGGTATTGGATAATGAAGGAGAAGAAAATTTTAAAATGTGAATGGCTTTGGTTAATTGAAATAGTTAGGTATATTATAGAAAGAGATCTGAAATTTTAAAGATTTAGTACAAATTTTGATAAATTTGGAAGTAATATAAAAAGAATATTGTGTGGATTTAATGAGCATAATTACGTACGTACGTATGTCATTTGATAATAAATTCGGCATGAATTGGCTTTTAATATTGACATCTATATCAGTTTAAGTTTAATAAGAAAAGCAATTTACATAATTTATTTATCACAGTAAGTTTTACACATAAAATAATTGTAACAATCAATCAAGACAATGCATTAATATCTTTTTTTTAATTGACGAGACTGATGAAATTTATTGATAAGTGTTAGAAGAATTAAGGAGGGTGTTATAAATTTAAGATTTATAAACTGTGTAAACAAACCTTTTTGGTGTATAGTAACTAATCTTTTATATTTCTCTAAAGCTGCAGTAGGACATATTAAATATCTGAAATTAAAGGATAAGATATGAAGAATTTCCCAATAAGTGGCACAACTCATCGCAACATATGCTTGACCTTTGGTAAATATGGATTTGTCTACACTAGTAGTAACATGAGGTAAGGTTAAGCCTTGTATCTTGTGAGTTATAAGCGTAAATGCATTTTGAAGAGGAAATTGTTGTCTCAAAGCAGCTTGTCTATTAATATAGAAATAAGATGTTTTTGTTTGAATCATTACTTTACTTACTCCTTTATAAGTAGGGAAAGTAGCTTCAATATTATTATTGTTAATAAGTTTAGTTACTATTTCAATTGTACCATTGCAGATATCATCATCAAAAAGTTTGTTATTTAAGAACATTACTCTAGCTCCTTCTTGTAAATATAGGTGGTTAGATAAGTTAGTCATAGTTTTGAATTGGGAAATTGAGTGATCAGGATACAGTAATTCAAAGTTTAGAAAGTCTTTAGATTCAGAAATTATGAGTTCACAAGAGGTTTGGTCTAACAGTAAATAGTGACAAAGTAAATGATTTATAATATTAGCAGCTTGATGAGTGGGTACTATGTAGATTGTGTTAAAGAATTTTGAAGGAGAAATAAAAGGATTTATTTTAGATATAATGATGGAGTTGCCTAGATTAAATAACTTTTCAATATGTATTTTCTGTAAAATATTATAAAAATCAATATTATGATGTTGTCTTTGAGGTGTGAGGAGAAAGAGTGAAAAGAATTGAAGCCAAGCAGGAAAACAGAAAATAGGAAGAGGATATACAGGTAGAAGTTGAGTTAGATCACTTACTACTAGTGTTAGTAAACCTTCAAAGAATAAATTATTGTTGTAAATTTTTGCAAATATGTCACTAATAAATATAAATAGGTCTGCATCTACTATAGATACTTTATCGATTACAAGAAACCCAATTTCTCTTAATTTAGGTATAGTTTTAGGCTTTGAATAAATTAGAGTTTCATATTGGTTGCTATGAAATCAGATTTTTAGAGCAAAATGAATAGTTTTTCCACCAATATTTTGTGCTACAACACTGGTAGATGCTATTAGAAAATATATTTTTTTTAGATAATAAATAGAAAATTAATTGAAAGAGTATAAATATTTTGCTTGTTTCAGCAGAGCCAGTTAAAAAGAAGTAAGAGTATTTAGAATTAGTCTCTTTACCTCATATATTGTATAAAAGATTATAGGATTTATATTGTTTAGTGTCAAAAAATAGAAGTGAATGAGAATTAATATATAGAGTATGTCTTTCTAAAGAAATAAATTGGTTAAATATTAATATAGTTAGTTCTTGATTATTAAAAACAGATATAAGAAAATAAATTAATATATTATAAACATTAGATAAATTATTTTTTTGTAGAAAAAAACTATGATGAACAGAATCTATTTCAAGAGCAAATCTTATTGGAAAAACAAATTGAAATCTGTTTTTATATAAGGTAAATTTACCTAACAATTCTTGTTCAGATATAACTAGGAATTTCATAATGAAATATTAAAAAAAAAAGGTTTACTGTTTTCTATTTTATAATTAGTAAAATGTAAAAGAATAGGAGTTTTTCTTTAAAAAACTATTCTATTTTTTTGATCATAAGTATAAAATAATTTTGAATTTGAACCAGGTAATCTAGATCTAAATATATAATTGTAAAAATAATTGGGATAGGTTATATCTTGAAAATAGTTGAGATTTGAATGATCAAAGTATTTATCAATAGCATCATCCCAATAAAGAATTTCTTTATTATTATCAACATTATTACTATTATCATTTATGTTGCTTAGATGATGAATTGGTTTGACAAACATTAAATGTAATTCAGAAGGAGCAAAAAAAAAGTAATCTACAGAAACAGAACATCTTGTTAAGGGGTATTGTAGTAAAAGTATTATCAACTCTATTGCACCTAATTGTCTTACTATTATATGTTTTCTATAATCATTAGCCTTATCAACATCAAATAATTTAAAAGGTTCTGATTTAGTAATATATTTAGTTATATATTTAGCAAATCCAGTAGAAGTAATATATTAAAAGTTAATATGATCATGCTATATTAATAAGATTTTAGGATAATATAGGACTACTATTTTGTTTTCATTTTTAGTATGATAAATTTTTTTTTTTTATTAATATAATGCCATAGTAGAAACTTTATTACAAAAAACCTAAATTAATCTAAAGACTAATAGT